TCCAATCAATATATCCAATCCATTCATCCATCCATCCAATCAATATATCCAATCCATTCATCCATCCATCCAATCAATATATCCAATCCATTCATCCATCCATCCAATCAATATATCCAATCCATTCATCCATCCGTCCATCCAGGGAGACTTACCTGGAGTTTTCTTACAGTCATGAGCCGGCGCACACGGAGAACAAAGAGCTCATAGCAGTTACAGGTTGGCAAAAGCCCCTCGGACAAGGAGCGCTGATGGGGGTCTCCCGGGTGCCTTACTGAGGCTTATAAGGGACCGGATGCCGTCAGAGGACCCAAATCGCGCGTCAGAGACACTACCCGTCCATCCTAATGAGCTCCGTGCACAAAAACACGTCACGATGTTAGTGGCTGATCTGACTGGGGGGAGGAGGGGGGAGAGATTCCTTCATCCAATACCGTGCACGTCCTTTAAAAAAATTCTACCGACTCGAACCTGAGCAGGTTTTTAAGCATGTTGAACGGTCAATCCTTTGTTTTCTTCTTATGTTTAAGTGTGAAACTCCGTGCGTAATTCCCGCGTGCCCAGGTGTGGCCTTTTACCACACCGACACCAAAACTTAAGACCCGAATGGGAATGCCGAAAACACAGCAACAATTTAATCAAAAGGATTACAGCCAAATATCAGAAACTTCTTTTCAAGGAGAAACATTCTCCTCTGTTAAACCCCCCCCCCCCATCCAGACAATTAGAAGACCCTCCAGTGGTAACGACACCTCCCTTCAGGAAATACATCAGTGAGCTCCAGCTCCTTAATGACCACCTCTGCAGCCTGGAGTGGTTTTTATCTGAACGAAACATGTCCAAACTGGCAGACATCCAATTAGGATGGATCCTGGAGAGCACGCGGAGGGATTTAATGATACAGTTTGACTTTTTAAAAAAGTTATCCCCCCCCCCCCACACACACACACACACACACACACACCATACTGGGACAAAAGTTAGTGGTTGTCCACGTCAGCTTCGTCTGAGCCGTTGAACGCGTGCAGCGCCCCCTCGTGGCGGAGCAGCGGAATGTTTTCAGGACCGCGGACAGCAGGTTGGCCTCAGGTTTATGATGGAGACCAGTTTCTGCTCCAGCTGTTGCTAAAACCTGCTGATTTATTTGATCAGTCACATGCCTAAGTGTCTCTGGGCAAGACACTGAACCCCTCATTGCCTCCGCTGTGTGTCCCATGAGTGTATGAACGTGACAAAGCTCTGATTAATCTCTACAGATTCAGATTAGCTTTGTAAAGAGAGCTGTATGAATGTGTAAATGACGACACAGATTGTGTTGTAAAGTGCTTTGAGTATCTTGATAAGGTAGAAAAGTGCTATATAAGTACAGTCCAGTTACCATTTCATGTTTTTGCTCACATCTGCGTGGATTTTCGATCATGTTGGCAAAATATCTCACAGGCCAGGTTTTAATGAAATTCTCAGAAAATAGCCACATCTACAACCGATTGGCCATTTCAAGATGGCGACCACAGCAAAGTGATTTCATCAAACAAAAATAATCATAAATCACTCCGGTTTACAGACAGAGGGGTGGTAGTAGCTGAGAGTCACCCTCAACACATATTCTGAGCTTTGACAGGTTTTGCAAGATGAGATTGTGCATCAGGTTCGCTCCTTCTTTTATTTTAGTTTAAAACTCTGGCTCTAAGAGCAGCGGGCGATATGCATTCCTTTAAGGAATGCAGCGGGTGTGTCAATAAATCTTGTATTTCATGGTGTAGCACAAATATGAGCATTACATTCACAAGCACGTTTTGTCCTCACAACTTTACTCCTTTGTTCCAGGGCAGTCCAAGATGTGTCTTCTGTGAAAAACTGTCAGTAATCAAGCTTTAAGAGGCTCCGCTGAGTTTTATTTTGTTGATTCGTATTTAAATCAAATGCAGATAGAAAGTCTTTTACAGCACAGTCGGCAAAGCAAAGTTACTGGATTCAAACTGAACATTGTGATTTAATTTGACGCGTGTCGAAAAGATGCCAAAAACATAAAACAAGCAGCAGACAGCCGGACAGATGGCTGGAGCACGACCTGGACACACGTTTTCTCCAAACGCTGAGAGCTGAGTGAAACACTCCCAGGATAAATATCTTTATTCATCACTGACAAACATATTGATAAAATAATACAACTTCATTTGTGCCATGCCTGTCATAATGTGGATGTTCAGATTGAACTAAGTTGTTCAAAGCCCAAGGACTGCAGCTGTTGAGGCAGCGAGCGTCAAGTCGGAGAGCGAGGGAGTGAAGGAGAGAAGCAGGCACCTTTTCCAGTGAGACACATCTGAAGAAGCACTAAAACATCTGGATGTGTTGGACTCAGTTGTGTTCTGGTCCACTGAGACTTTTATAATAAATAAACAGCTTATTATGACAATTAAACGTGGTATAGATTTTAAATGGTCTAAAATTAATTTAACTTGGAGCTTTTTCCTGAAATTCATTCTTTTTTTTTTTTTTTTTTTTTTTTTTAACTGATGGACACATTTTCCCAAATGTTTTAGAGGGTGTATTAAACTATGAACCAAAAAGTTGTTAAAACAATAACTGGTTATGTTGTCAAATTGAACATTTTACACAGCTAATAAAAAAGACAATGGTTTCAAATGGTTTTCTTTTTGTCTTTTCAAGTGACATTAGTACATTATTAAATTATATATATATATACAGTAAAGTATATATGTTTATAGTTTTATACAAAGTATATAACTGTGTGTGTATATATATATATATATTAAATATATATTTCTGAAGAGTTGTCCTTGATTTTATACCGATTTACAAAGGTGTCAAACAAGAAGCTTGAAATGACTCAACTTGTTGAAGAAATGTATCAATTTGAAGTTAAAGCTGCATAAAACTTATTTTATTAAGAAAGTTATTATAAAGAAAACCTGACTTTTCGCTGCACAGCTGTGAACTTTTGTTAGTATATTTATTTCTAGTGGCAGAACAGTACAAATATATTCCATCCATCCATCCATCTATCCATCCATCCATCCATCCATCCATCATCTTTACCTGCTTTGACCTTGTTGGGTCGCGGGGGTTACTGGTGTCCATATCCAGCAGTCACTGTGCGAGAGGCAGGGACACCCTAGACAGGTCTCCAGTCCATCACAGGGACAGAGACAAACAAGACAAAAATAAAAAAAACATTCACTCACTCACACCTAGAGATAATTTAGAGTTACTAATCAGCCCAACATGCATGTTTTTGGTATGTGGGAGGAAACCGGAGTACCCGGAGAAAACCCACGCATGCACGGACAGAACATGTAAACTCCACCCAGAAAGGGCCTCAGTCGTGATGCGAACCGCTGACATTCTTGCTGAGAGGCGGCAGCTCTACCAGCTGCGCCACCGTACAAACATCTTGTTTTTATAAATGTAAAGTGAAATGACGTAAAGGGACGAACACGGACAGACGAGTGTGTTTCAGGCTTTAGATCAGAAATACTCCATGAAAACATCAAAGGTTGTATAATAAACTTCATGCAGACTAAATGGATGCAGGTCTGCCTTTGATTCGCTGAGGACTGAGAGAAAACTGAACTAAGTATTTGCTTCCATTACAACCTGCAGTTCATTGATGAAATAAGACAAAAAAAAAGACGTTTTTTCTTTTTATTAACATATTTTACACTAACTTACCGCTCAGTTCTGACCACAGCTAAGCTAGCTGCTATTGTTTTATGTACTTAGTTACATAAAGGAATATACACAGAATTGTTCATTCAGGTCTAAAAGCTTTTGTTGCCTTCACTTTTAATTTTGTGACTCAAAGCTCTTCAAACACGAGTGAAGCTGCAGTGGAAAAAAAAAAATAATCTGACTGTCATAACCACAACAACTATGAGACTGCGCTCAACAGAAAACTGAAAAAGGAAATTAATTAAACACATTTGTAAATAGATCTTCTTGTATTATGAAAATAAATGCCTTTTCTTTGCCTCTGCATGTAAAAGTTGACAGAAAGATGACTACGATTCAAATAAAACTAGTTAAACATCTACAGAAATTCTGAGACACGTAGGAAAGACTGCTCCCTTAAATCACTACAATGACTCAGCTGCTTTGAAAAATATCCAAAATCTTAAGAATAAAGCAAGTTTTGATGATAAAAAGGGAAATGATGTAAGTGACTCCAGGTTTGAATCATTAATTGGGTCATTCCAATAAATAAATAGTTCATTAAAAAGTATCTGTACATCTGCAGATGCAAAGTTCTGATTCAAAACGGCTTTGGCCAGTCTGTTACATTATAATACAAACGTTACATGACATTATAGTAAAACTGTTAAACTATGTTACATCATAGTAAAAACTATATGAACGATATGGTACCAGATTTTAAACCGTTGGACAGTGAATGTCTCTAAAGTTGCCAGCTTGTGTATATTTCTGGTCGTACTGTTGGCGGATGTGTTTGTCTCCGTGGTGACAGAGAATCAGATCACATTTTGAATCGGTCACAAACTTCCAAATCTCTTCAACCCTTTAATGTACGCTTTCCTCCTGCGCTGCCTCTAAAAACAAGACCACTTCTTTCCAGAGACCACTTCAAGCTTTCATGTTCTCATTGTTTTGATTTGATCTGCAAAAATGTACGAAAAAAACAATTAGTACAAAGTAAAATACTCTTCATTATGTAAAGTACACAGGCTGTAAGCATGAACAAAATAAAGACAGGAGAGTTTGTAAATGGTATTCAAAACATATTATTCATGTGGGAGTTGTGCTTTTCTTGAAAGCTTCATGATTTTATTGAGGAATGATTGACACACGAGGAGTTCTAGTTTTGGACAAACTGCACAGTTAGATAAAGTAGTCCCTCGCTACTTCGCGGTTCGACTTTTGTGGACTCGCTCTTTTGCAGTTTCTGAACCTAAGATTGTTCACGACACACAATGGTCAACTTTAATATTACTCACGTTGATTGGGACAGTACGGGATAAAAAGTTAACAAAAAAAAAAAACTTCGGACAGGCACCTCCATTTTGTAGTTTTCTTTCAATAAGCTTACACTGTAACGCCAGTCAAAAGAACTACACTACCCAGAAGCCAACAGTGCTTCTGGCGCTGCTTTCTGCCGAAAGGGAGAGAAACTTTTGCATCACAAAGTGAGAAGTAACAATCTATCTAAGAAGCTGACAGAACTGGCAGGAAAGTTGCTCAATTACCCACGTGCACATTAACCTGGACAGGGTGGTGCTGCAGGGTAGGTCTGCCAAACCAGAACCGAGCTCGACCAGAACCGAGCTGGTGTTCTGCAGAGATGGTGAGCACACGCTTAAAGTTTTGCAGTACTCTACAGTACATATACGTATGTTGTTAAAATGACGTAGGTTTAAGAGTTTAGAACATTGCAAAAGTGTGGGAAGAGTTTATAAAGCCTTAAAATAGATATAAAAACTAAAATGAATATAAAATTCCTCCTTCGTGGTTTTTCACCTATCGCAGTGATGTCTGGAATGTAACCCCCGTGATAATCGAGGGACTACTGTATCTCTGTGCTTCACATGTACCGAGGTCAAAATAACAACAGGTGTCTAAAGTCTTAAACAGCACAATAAAATACACAACACTTATACAACAGTCAGTACTCACTGTATAATTTGATCTATTGAAAGGTTTAAAAAGAGAGCGTTGAACAAAAAACAAAGGACAAAAGACGCTGACATACACAGTATGTAACTTTTATCATATAAGAAAGAAAATCACAAAAAAAATAATGGTTTTCCATCCACCTAAATATATAAATCAAAGACTTTTCAACTTTACAAGAGTGCAGGACAGAGTCAGAAGTGAGGAGATGTTGGTTATTGGTTAAAGAGGATTTAAAAAGTATTTGATCAGTTATGTTTACTCTAGAAAACTGAGAATTTCCAATCACTTCCACTAACAATAAACTAACTGATCAGTAGGTGAAATAAGAGTTCCTAATTTACTTTTAAACTGAAGCATTCAAACAGAGATGGCTTCAGAAATAAACTTTTTCATTTCCATTGAAACTGACCCCTTTACGCTTTTGGCTGCCATAGCACTGGGAAATCCCTTCGCATCATTTTTTGCGGCATAGTGAAACTTGTATATTTACCCTTTTTAAAAAAAATAACAATCCCAGTTTTCAAACTTGCACTGTTGTCAACAGGAGCAGTGCGTTGCCAGGTCAGGTGACAAATCACCAAATTTAAGCAGACTATGTTTCATTTTGAAGTTTTTAAGATGGAATATTGAAAAAAAATTCCTCATTGTGACTCATTTAGCCAACACAAGTTACATGATCCCCATTGCAGGTAATTAATATAGTAATATTAATAATATTTATTGATTACTAAATAATGAAATAACTTGACTTTTAAACATCTGTGTCTCATCTAAATGACCTCTCAGCACTTCTGCTTCATAATCCTGTTCCGTTCTTTTTTTTTTTATACACCACCTTCATCCTGGTTTGACTCAGAGCTACAGCCTCACTAACAAACAGGCCCAAACAGATGTGGAGGGTTAATTTGACACACGAACAGCTGCTTAGAAAAACTTGACAGATTGAGTCGTTAAATAAATAAATAAATAAATAAACTCTCTCAATCCAGGGTTTCCTTCTGCTAATCAGCTGCACGACTTTGTTGTTCACCTTCACTTTCTGAGCCAAATGAACAGGAACTGCGATTAGAAGAATTTGAGATGTACCGAGACGTTTAATTATGTTTATTAAATATTGTCAGCATGGCTGTTTTCTTTAACAAAGTGCTGCGTAGATTTTTAGATTGATGTGTCAAAACGGCTTCTTGTTTTCAGCAAACTGTATATTAATGAGGCGTTGTGGAGGTTTGTGAGCTGCTGCAGCTTCTTATCTGACAAACGACAGGAACCGTGACTGATGCAGCGGTTAGGTTACGCTTCTCTTGCCCCGAAAGCACTAAACAGTGATTGTGTGTAGATCAGGCTGAATACAGTGTGTCAAACTTTACATAAAAAAATAATACTGATAGTGGTATACAGTACCATTACTGGATTTCTGACAGTTTAATGTTAATCAGGTGGAAAAAATAAAAACAACTGTGACCAGTGTAGTGATGCTGTCGTACCTTGCAACCAGTCGACTCCCTCCTGTAATCCCTCTCCTTTCAGAGCATCAGTGGTACTGAAAACACACCCGCAGGTCATTTAAGTAACTACTCTGCTTCATGACGTGTGTGCTATTTAACAAACACTGTTCAATGTTGCATCTCGGTGAGTTGTGACCATCAGAGATTAGTTTGTGAACATTTGTAAGGGAGTCTTTAAATCAATTTAAAACATTTGTGGGGGTTCAACATATCCTTGTGCAAGTCTCAGAAGCTAGCAGCCTTGATGCTTCGATTCTGAACTTGTTCAAAAAAATAAATAAATTGTGCAACAAATTTTATTTGAAAATAGTCAAAAAGTTGAATAGGGAAGAACAAACCTGTCTCGGTTTAGTTCTGTCAATTCTAAAACGATAGACGTGTGTTGCAATGCTTGCCCTGGAGCTATCAGACAACATCTGGAACTACAGCACCAATACATAAACCAGCAACATTGATTAAAACTGCTCTAGATCTGACCGTTTCATTTCAAAATTACACTCCAGAAGATGAAATCGTAAACATGAAGGCGACTGCCAAGGTGGGTAGAAAGACGCATAATAAGGTGGGCACAACGTGCACGGCTTAGAAAACTGTTTTGCGAGTAAAGCTCAGTTTAAAGATTGTTCACTCAAAATACAGCAGCACGGCTTTCTGGTCTCTTGGTGCAAACACTCGATTCAATGGGAACTGATCAGAGACCCGACTGAAAACAGCCGTTGAAAAAGAGACACGGGAAGTTGTGTCAGAAGAGCGGACCGCTGCACGATCTGGTCCGTAAACGTGATCTGTACCGCAGCTCATTTGTGCATGCGCTGAAAGAAACACTTCTGGGCTGCGCGGATCGCCGGTGAATATGCTAGATTAAGGAAAAAGTACTGGAAATAATTACTTCCAGACTTAATTATAAAGGTGTGCTAAATTATATCCTGTAAGCTGATTTAATATATTTATGAAACATACCATATGTATTAATATTAATTAAAATATCTATTTCTATAAATTGATTAATTTTCTTGGACAATGTTATAATTCCGTTCATGAATAAGAGCTGTCTTAATTAGAAAAGGTTAAAATTGTACGATAAATTTAGTGTGATGTAGCGCAGCTTCACCACTGAGCGGCGCTGTTTCACCATGAAAACTTTATTTCAGTGCTTGTGAAGAGTTGTTTAAATAAAACCAACCCCTAGATGGAAGGCTTTGATTGTCAATCAACTGGTAGTATAATTCAGCGTCTGATGTACTGTCTATAAAAATTTGTTTTGCTTTAATAGATTTCCTGTTTGCATTTTCCAGGGAAACCGTAAGGCTCTTAAGTTTTGGTCAGCAGAGGTTTAATCTTTACGAGCTGCGCCAAGAGTTCGAACCAGAAGCCAAGCATCCAACTGCAGGATCTGTGCCTCGTAACAAAAACCCAAGTAAGTTAAGACAGTTCCTATTCATAAACGGAATTATAACATGTTACAAAAATAGATATTTCAATTAATATTAATAAATATGGTAAGTTTCATGCATATGTTTTATTAATAACAAATATGTGTTGTACTAAATTAGTTTACAGTACATAATTTAGCACGCCTTTATAATTAAGGCTGGAAGTAATTATTTCCAGTACATTTTTCTTAATGTAGCATATTCAACGGCGATTCGTGCGACCCGGAAGTATTTCTTTTAGCGCATGCGCAAATGAGCTGACGGTACGGATCGTGCAGTGACAAGCAGCGAGCTGGCTGTCGTCCATGTTTGTTCACCCTTTAAACGATCTCCCTCGTGAGAGTTTGAAGCGTTTAGTTGTCTTTAGTTGGTTTGACAGATCCTGTAATCTGTTATCGCTCATCAGGTGAAGTTAAGTGTGTGACTCCCGGTCTTTCATTCATCACATAAAAAATCTCTTCAACCAGCCCGTTAGTGTGTACTCCAAGTCTTTTCAAAATCAGTAAAGACTTAGAAAGTTGTGTAGTGTGTATTTCAGCATTTCTACACCACACTGATGAATATATTTACCGTTGGCTTGCCACTTTTTGTTATTTCTATGTATTTTGCTGATACTTATATTTGTTTTCACGCACTAAGCTTGTGACAAGATTTGCCAAGAATAATTATGGCCAAATTACTTGACTGAAGCAGACGTTCTTTTATTCCGACACCTCAAAAGCTCATAGTGACCCAAGAGAAAAACAGATGGATAAATATTCCTACAGGCTGAAAAAAGGTTTGTGCAAGTTTGTACCAGATATGCCAGGGTTTGTCTCTGATGTTCTCCAAACAGAGAAGCTGCGAAACCTTCACAGAAGACAGAGCATCTCTGACGTCCATCTTGTTAGCAAAGAACAGGATGGGGATCCTCCGATGTTTAATATCTGCAGCAAAACAGAGCAAAGAACGTACAATGTGTAAATAATAGCAAGGCTTATCATGTCAAATAATTACTAACATAATTCTGAAGCTAAAATAAACGACTAATTCTACAGCACTGATTAAAACTCGTTTGAAAGCACTTTACTTTGTGCTGCTTATTGTTTTTCCTCAGATTTATACAGCACTTCTTATCATATCTTATCATTATAATTTACAGTAACTTCAATTTGTATGCAATACTTTACTTCTGTCAATCTCAGATCAACGAGCTCAAAAGCAGCCGCAAATAAATAGTTTTGAAAAAAACATAACTCGAGCTTACCAGGATGACTTAGTAAAGTGTCCAGTTCTTCTTTGGCCACAACCATTCTGAGTTTGTCTGCACTGTCTATGACAAAAATAATAGCCTGGCCTTCCCTAAGAAGAGATCCATGACGTTAATGTTCAAATCTGCATAAGAAAATTGCTTCAAAAAAGGATTTTGTCTTAATCCATAGACTTACTTGTAGTAATGCTCCCAAAGGTTTCTGTATCTGCCTTGACCGGACATGTCAAAGACTGTGAAGGAAAGACTAAAAAAAAAAGATGAATACTGTACAATTTCAATAACAATGAACATATGACATTTATTAAACAAGCTCCATATCACTTAGTAGGAACTGCGTTGAGACGAGCCGTTACCTGGACGTCTTGAACTTCTCTATACTGAAGCCGATTGTTGGAACGATGTCTTGAACCTGGGCCTGAAAAAAAGAAAGCACGTTTAAGTCGGTTTAAAAGGACAGCGCATAAATATCACCGCGCTACTAACAAGAGAACTCACATTCGAAGGCTTGAGTTTGTTGATGATGGTGGTTTTTCCACTGTTGTCCAGACCAAGACACAGCACATTCACCTCCTTCTTTAACCCCAGCCATCCAACCAACTTGTCAAACAGTCCCATTGGCTAACCAACAATCAGCTGGGAAACTTCAAGAAACAGATTTTTTTTTTTTTTAAAAGAAAGAAAATCACTATAAGTGAAGCAGAACATTCCAAATAATGTGATATTTTTATATATGTTCAACCCTTTTTCCTAATCTTGATGGACAATATCATGTACACAAGGGAAGACGGTGAGATAGAATTGTAAGAACTTAATATAAATGAACGAGCTACATTAAAGTCTAACTAACCTTTAACCAGGCTGCAGTGTGGATTTTTTTTAGGTCAAATGATAACTGTTCTAAATGATATTGTTCCAGATGTTCCTAAATAAACATCAAATTGACAGTTGCCTATAACTAATAAAATGGTTTGTATTTTGGAACATCGTCTCCCGCTTACTTTGTAAACAAGCCTAAGTGCCTTTTTTTTTAATATATAAATTATTTCCATGGGTGAAAGTCCTAAGGTGGCGTTGCTGCAAGTTAAAAAAAAAAAAGTAAAATAAAAATAACATCCCAAGACCCAAGTTTGCCACATATAAAACAAAATTCACAAACACTACTTATGATTAAAAATAAACATTATGACGTTTAACAAAAAACTCGATATAACTCAAATTATGAATTACAACCACCAAAGGAATATGCGTTTGTTTTTGACGCCATCCCATCTGGTGTCATAATGCTTCTTAAATCCTCTCTAACTTTTTTAGAGACTCCACCAAATTTGAACCCTGCTGACTCTAGTATTGGTCAAATCTGTTTTTCCACTAAAAACAAAAAAAACAACGGTGATATACGTGCCTTATTCCAGAAGGACATGTTGTCTCTTATTGGAATAACCTTGCATCAGACCTGAACTGGAAAAAAAATCTGGTGTCTTCCATCTAAATATGTGGTTATCAATAAGGTCAAAGAAGTATCATTTAATATTATCTATCGTTTTTATCCCTGCAAGTCTTTCCTTCAACGATACAAAAATGACATTAACATGAACTGCTCATTCTGTCAACTCTGTGAAGAAGATCTCTGTCATTTATTCTGGTCATGTCCTTTCTTATGCACTCTCTGGCCAGATGTTTGCACTTTTATTTCCCAAAATATTCTTTTTGACTTTTCCCTTACTTATGTAGATGTATTGTTTGGGTTCTTCTCTTATCCCACTAATAAAACAAACCATTATTATACTAAATTCTCAAATCAGAAACCTTGTTTCTTGGTCTTTAAAGATGAATTCAAACAATATATTAGAACACGTCAGTATTCAAACAATAGTAAAGCCATTAAAACAACGATGTGTACCCCTTTCAACATTTTTGTGACTTTATTTTATTTTTTTTTATTTTAAATGTGTGTATACACTTTGTTCTATTTGTGTTCGCTTTATAACCTTGTTCATTTTGTTTTATAATGTTGATATTGTTGTTTGCACTTTTGTTAACACTTTTATGGTCAATTTAAAAAAAAATAAAAAAAACTGGGACAAATAAAATTATGAATTACAGCAGCTAAAGAAATAGTAACGGTGTGTTCGTATTTGCTGTTTCGAGGCACAACAGCGTGTGTGGCTAACATTAAACACCATGTGTTTTTAACACTAAACCGTTAGCTTAAGCTAACTGGGTTTGTTGGGCGGTACAGTCAGTTTTACGTTGGAGCTCCGTGGCTTCAGCGGTGTGTCGCTCTCGTCAATCCGCTTCAGGCTGTCTGATTTCGGTCAGCCGCGCTCACCCCTACTCGCTGTTCCACCGCACAGATTTGAACCTTCAGCCGCTATTTAATCTCTCGCCGTTACCTCAGTTAGCAAGCCGATGCTAACAGCTACTTGTAAGTTCACGCTTCTGTCTTTCAAGACAAAACGACTGCAGGAATAGTATCCGGTTCCAAATATTGCAAGCTTTACACAACACACTCCAGTAAATAAATCAAATGTAGACGTGCTGTTGCAGTTAGCGCGACTGTTAGCGCAGGCATATCGCTAACGTTAGCTCGTGTTATCCTGCTGCAGGCTGTTAAGTAGAGCAGTAATTTACCTGGAACTGGGCTACGGGGTCTTGTTTCGAGTATGCGCTTCGTGGCTTCTCAACTTGGTTAACTTGCTATGTGGTGTTAAATCGGTGTTTCATTCATTTTTCCGACCGATGCTAGCTAGCGCTACTCAAGACGTCTAGTTATTTACACTGTGTTGCTGGGAGACCAGTGACCACCGCGCTGACTGTAGGGTGCCACCTATGTGTGAAATGCTAGATTGGATCCCCGGGGAAATGGGAGCTTTACAAAAGTTCATAAAAGATTGGATCAGCTGGAGGGTGGTCTGCTGTGATTGGTCAGCAAGTTGTTAGGCAACGAGATGGCCGCTCTGCTTTGATTGGTCGGTTAGTTGTTAGGCAACGAGAGGGCCGCTCTGATTGGTTGTGATGCAAAACTTTTTAAAACCACATTAATGTATGATACTTTTCTCTCTAAAAAAGCTTAAACAAAAGCAACTAGACTTCTTTCTGAACTGAATTCTGAAGTTGAAGGCGTTTATATAGTAATTTAAAGCTTGGAATTCCACACACTCAACATTTTTAAATTGATACCTCCCTGATGGGAAGCAAAACCTCTTCCGCTTCAGAATTAAAGTCCAGCTTTTGTTTATTGACCCATTTTTTTAATTGAACATGACCTGGATTTCTTGACCTGGGTTTCTTTTTCAGAAACAGATCCTGTCTAACTCTGAATGCTAGGAAACACCTTGTATCTGTGACCTTCCTTCCCTCCATTGATTACGGTGACATTATTTACATGAACGCTCCTACAAGAACCCTGCAGATGTTGGATGCTGTCTATCATGGTGCACTAAGATTCATAACTGGCTGTGATTATCGTACCCATCACTGCACCCTGTATTCACTGGTTAACTGGACATCATTAATCAATCAACCTTTATTTATACAGGTAAATCCCATTGAGCCTCGAGGACTCATTTACAAGAGAGACCTGATTTCAACAAAGAAAGATGACAACAATGGACAACAGCAACAACAATAAGCAGTTATAAAAACTCATACTA